CCCCAAAACCCCAAAACCCCAAAACCCCAAAACCCCTATGGCCTAGTCTCAGATTGAGTAATGTCCAAAATTGAGATAGATAGAATCCTTCATCCCAAAAAGAAACTTCAGGAATGGATGATCTGAATGATATGAAAAGGAGTTGTCCAAGAGCCTCAGAAATGAAACAAATGAGATTCATGCATATGAGCCAAATGCATATCTAAATGAATCTTAGAGAATTCTCTAGCCGCAAAGTGAAGCCGTTGCTTGAATCCAAATTTCCTGCCACTTATGGATTTTGAAAAACTTGAGTCATTGAGCCAGCTAAAATTTAAATGCTTCGTGTGCCATTGTCACGATGGCAAGATACCCACCTACATTCCTTATGACTCAGTGAGGGTCCACGACATGCAATGAAAATTCAAATCAGCTCAGAAAGGGCCAAATTTTCCAAAAGGAAATCTCAAATTTGAGGCAGAAGGCCAGTCTTCCAATGAAGATCTCACCAAGAACAACTCCCATTTAGAGGAGATAAAGCCTCTTGACAGAATTGACTTTAAAATCCGCAGAGATCCTACTTATAGACTAGAAAAGTTGAAAAAGAGAGAGGAGAAAGAAGAAAAGTTCAGGGCTGAAACTACCCCAGAAATTAATGAAAAGAACATCATTGAAGAGATAGAATGCTTCCTCTGCAAAGAGAAAATAGGCATATCTATTTATAAATTTAATCGAGCTCAAGAACAACTAGAGCCATTAAAAGGAAAGATAAAGCCACATATGGTCAGATCTGAGATCTTCAAATTGCATTCAATGATTGAGTGTCCTGAAATATACACAACTTGTCATTTTTGTAAACTCAAATCCCGAAGAAAACATATTGAAGAGCATTTCCAGACTACCTGAGCTGAGAAAATTGTTAAATGTCATAATTGTGGTGCTGACTTCAAGGAAAAGAGTAATCTGTTCAAGAACCATAATTGTGACGATAAGTCTAAAGAACTCGAATTCAAGAGCTTGATACAGAAGACCCTTGCCCTGAAGGTCCAAGTTGATGAGATCTCTGCTGAAATCAAGAAGATCAGGACTGACAAGAAAAAGACTAAGCTTTCTCTCCAACAAAAGAAAGAACAGATTGCTATCCTTGAGAAATATATGATTGATAACAAGAAGGCACTGACTGACGATGAAGGTGACGAATCTTCCATGGAATACAGAGAAGCATTCATCTATAAGAAAGAGCACTTTTGTAGCATCACCTGATACTGAGTCTGTGCTAAAGGCACAGATCAATTCATTACATGAGACGAAAAATGTATGATAAAACTATGGAATATTGAGAATAAGAAGCCTTGTGGAGAGATTGACGCTCTTAAAATGATGAGCACCTTATATCCATTATACTTACCAAATGATTCTCCTGAAGAAGCTGAAGAGGCTCAACATCAGTATAAAATTTCAGCAATTCAGCAATGCAAAAGCACTACCTTATGCATCCTAATGACTGTATTTAGGGGCGAGAATGAAGAAGATGGCTTTATTAGAGACATATTTCTCTGTATTCAACCTGATTACGGATATGGTGAGACTACCCTTAATTTCAACAGAATTCCTTTGTTCAACGACGTCAGAGATTTCATCCAGAACGAGGACAAAGTTAGAAGGATGATTCAGCTGAGCACATCTTCTCATACGGGAAAGGTCACCAAAATGATAGATCTTAAATGACAATCTAGTGATTTCATACTTACATGTGATGACCAGAAAACATTAATTGCATGGGAAGTAGCGCAGGCTAAATTCAATTATCTCGAAAGATTCTCCGAAGGTCTTGGAGATTTTGAAGACATCATCGAATTCAGAAGAAAGTCATCCAGCTTTTATGGGTGAGTAGCTCTAGCCTTCGCTGACAAAAGAATAGCAATTCTCGAGATAAAGTTTAAGAAATCCAAAAAAGATGCCTCAAAGGTAAAAGTTGTCCCATTTCTCAAGAAGCTAATAAATATGATAAATCCTCCAAAATCTCTGATAGAAGTAGGAAATAATCAGCTTGTGATTGTATCGATAGAGTTTTTGTACTACTATGACCAGAAAGAAGAGAAATGCTTGCAGCCTACATCTCCCTCTGTGCATTTATTCCAAGCTGCATGTCAGGTTTCTGATCATAGTAATGAAGGAGTAGTGACTGTTGAAGGATCTAAATTACTAAAACTATGGGATAGGAACAAATCTTACGAAAAGAAAGTGCATTATAAGTCATCAGATAAGATTATTTGGCTTGCAAAAATTCCTGGAAGAAGAGCCATAGTTGCCTGTAACAAGAACAGCAGCCTGCGTTTATTAGTAGCTTACAAGTAGCTAAAATTTTAATTTTCAATAAAATATGTTTTTAATGGGGTTTTGGGGTTTTGGGGTTTTGGGG